TATTATACATGGAGATCATATCCCCCCTTATGTATTATACATGGAGATCATATCCCCCCTTATGTATTATACATGGAGATCATATCCCCCCTTATGTATTATACATGGAGATCATATCCCCCCTTATGTATTATACATGGAGATCATATCCCCCCTTATGTATTATACATGGAGATCATATCCCCCCTTATGTATTATACATGGTGATCATATCCCCCCTTATGTATTATACATGGTGACCATATCCCCCCTTATGTATTATACATGGTGATCATATCCCCCTTATGTATTATACATGGAGATCATATCCCCCCTTATGTATTATACATGGAGATCATATCCCCCCTTATGTATTATACATGGAGATCATACCCCCCCTTATGTATTATACATGGAGATCATATCCCCCCCTTATGTATTATACATGGAGATCATATCCCCCCCTTAATCTCCTCTTCTCAAGAGAAAATAAATTCAGTTCCTCTAATCTTTCCTCATAGCTGAGCTCCTCCATGCCTCGTATCAGTTTAGTTGCCCTTCTCTGTCTCAAGTTCCCCAATGTTCTTTTTGTGAATTTATTTATTTCAGGCACTTATATAGTGCTGTCAATTTACGCAGCACTTTACATATATATTGTACATTCACATCAGTCCCTAACCCTCAAGGGGTGTACAATCTAAAGTCCCTAACTCACATTCATACATACACATACTAGGGACAAGGAGCACTGTTATCACAAAACTCTGTCACGTTTAGGTGGAAGTGGAAATGGATGCAGTCCTTCTCTGTTTTTTTCTTACAGATATGGAGGGACGTAAAGGTAAGCAAATGTAAACAGACAGGAGCATGTTTAACTACTTTCTGCTTTGTCACAGTAGATTTACTGTGACCAGGGGCGGACTGACCATTTGGAAACTCAGGCACTGCCCGTGGGCCAGGGGTCAGTAGGGGCCCCATGAGATGCCCCTGGTACCTTTTTCATAGTTTTTTTTTTGAGTTTTGGCAAGGACACAGGGCCCCATGATCCCCTAGTAAATAAACGTTGCTGGTATGCTATCGGGTTTGGGATGTGCATGCGCTCATCCTCTGCCAACCTATACTATGGATGGACACACCATAATTTTGTCAGCAGGTCCTGGCCAATGGTTTATGCCAATCACAGAACAGAGTCCTGTGTGTACAAACATACAGGACTCTGTACACGGAGTAGTATGCCTAACAAGTGTAATTACACACATTACACTTGTTAGGCACACAGTTAATCCCTTGATTGCCCCTAGATGTTAACCCCTTCCAAGGCAGTGTCAGTACAGTGACAGTGTATAGTATTATCACTGATCACTGTATTAGTGTCAGTATTGAAGTCAGTGTCAGTTAGAGTACCTCCCAGCGAAGGTCTGTTTGTGCTAGATTGCCTGCCACACTATCACGGTCCCACTATAAGTCGCCGATCACTGCCATTACCAGTACAGTGTCATAGCTGTATACGTTTCAATATACTGTATATACACTAGTTTGTAGACATTATAACGTTCACACAAACCAATTGATATACACTTATTGAGATTTTTTTTACCAAAAGACATGTAGCCGAATACATTTTGGCCAACATTTATGAAGAAATTTGACTTTTTGATTTTTTATTGGATATGTTTTATAACAGAATTTTTTTTCTTCTAAATATTCAGTCTTTTCCATTTATATAATAAAAATAAATAAAACCCAGCGGTGATCAAATACCACCAAGAGAAAGTTCTATCTGTATGAAAAAAAGGATATACCTTATTTTTCGCTCCATAAGACGCACCTGACCATAAAGACGCACCTAGGTTTTAGAGGCAGAAAACAGGAAAAAAAAAATTCTGAACTAATGGACTGCAGACATAGTACAGGAGATGACCAGAGACTGCGGACACAGTGCAGGGGATGACCAGAGACTGCGGACACAGTACAGGGATGACCAGAGACTGCGGACACAGTACAGGGATGACCAGAGACTGCGGACAGCACAGTGATGACCAGAGACTGCGGACAGCACAGGGATGACCAGAGACTGTGGATAGTACAGGGGATGACTGCTGACCTTTGGGGGGGGGGGGAGTGGGTGCCTGAATTTGACAGGTACCCGCTCCCACTTCCACGGAGTTGTTCTTTCATCTTACCTGTTCCTCTATCCAGCCGCGCGCTGTCTTCCCGGCTTCTGTAATGGCGCTCGGCATGACAGCCGGGTGCCCAGTGCGCATGAGCGAGAAGCGCTGCGCTTTGTGATTGGTCCGGCGGCTTCTGGGATCTGTCATGTGTCCCAGGTGCCGCCTTACCATTCACAAAAAGCACCGCTTCCTGCGCATGCTCAATTGGCACCGGCTGTCATGCCCACACTACAGAAGCCGGGAAGACCGCGCCGCTGGATAGAGGAACGGGTAAGAAGAAAGAACAACTCCACGGAAGTGGGAGCGGGTATCTGTCAAATTCAGGTACCCGCTACCCCCCTCCCCAAAGTTCAGCAGTCATCTCTATAAGGTCCCGCTGTAGAGCTGAGCGGCCGGCCCGGTATTCTGACACGGCTGCAGTGGAAATACCGGACCGGCCGCTCCATATTCGCTCCATAAGACGCACTGACATTTCCCCCCCTTTTTTGGGGAAAAAAGTGCGTCTTATGGTGTGAAAAATACGGTAAATGTAATTTGGGTACAATGTTGCATGACTGAGCAATTGCCAGTTAAATTAGCGCAGTGCTGAATAACAAAAATGCCCTGGTCACAGGGCGGACTGTCCATTTGGAAACTCGGGCACTGCCCAAGGGCCCGGGGTCAGTAGGGGGCTCCATGAGATGCCCCTGGTACCTTTTTCATAGGCTTTTTGAGTTTGGGCAAGAACACAGGGGCCCCATGATCCCCTATTGCCCGGGGGCCCCATGAGTTGTCAGTCCACCCCTGCCTGGTCATGAAGGGGGCAAAACCTTCCGGAGGCCAAGTGCTTAAATTCACCCATACAGCTGCATGGAGTTTCCGATCAGGTCCGCCTAGAAAACAGACAAGCGAACCTGATCAGAAAGCCTGTGTGAAAGGAGCCTTACCCTGAGCTTTGCATACTGGTGAAAAAAAATAAAAAACAGAATTGTAAATATTCCTTCAATGATCATTAAATTGATGTTTCTGAAATGTTGCAAGGCTCCTTAAAAAAATTACCATACAGATAACTATAACCAAAATTTAGAAATTCCGCCTGGGAGTTCTAGGGTTGTTGGTTCGAATCCCAGCCATGGCACCTCCTGCCTGGAGTTTGCATGTTCTCCCTGTGCTTGCGTGGGTTTCCTCCGGGTACTCCGGTTTCCTCCCACACTCCAAAGACATGCTGGTAGGTTAATTGGCTCCTGTCTAAATTAGCCCTAGTATGTGTATGTATGAATGTGGGTTAGGGACCTTAGATTGTACACCCCTTGAGGGTTAGGGACTGATGTGAATGTACAATATATATGTAAAGTGCTGCATAAATTGACGGCTCTATATAAGTACCTGAAATAAATAAATTAAATAAATAAACATATAGCTGAATTTTGAATGGTTAAAAAGTATACTGAAATGATACATGGAAAAAAGTATACATTTCATGATTTACGTACCGGCTACTAGTAGAGTTATTTGTATGAATGTTCTGGCTTCCATGGTGTTTGCACATAGCTTGCTTCTAGGCAATCAGTAGATCCCTTCGTCTTAGTATCTGCCTAGTGTCAAAGCTAGTAAAGTGACCATAGTCTATATCTAAGTGATCTTTGTCTCAAGCGTAGGTTAATGCACATGTGAATCATTAGAAGATAGCTTCAAGGACATTAGTATTATAAACCTATACAGGACATCACAGCTTTTGTTAATAATTAACAGGAAGAAATATTTATTTGTCTCACTTCATCTATATAATAAATATATGAAAATATTCAGAACTTCAGCTGTCTCTTCTTCTAAAATCTCAATCTTTAGTTTGGCATTGTCCGTGCCAGACAGGGAGCCTGCCCCTACACTAACCACTTGCATAAAATGTGCCAAACCCAGGAGCTGACATCTTAAATAGACTGCGCCTAGTATTATTATTATTATACAGGATTTATATATTATTATTATTTTTATTCAGGATTTATATATTATTATTATTATACAGGATTTATACAGCACCAATAGTTTGCTCAGCGCTTTACAATATAACGGGAGACAATACAGCAACAATACAGTTCAATACAAGAGGGATAGGAGGGCCCTGATCCTGGGAGCTTACAATCTAAGAGGGAGGGGCTAGTGGTACAAAAGATAATAACTGTGGGGGATGGACTGGTAGGAGGAATAGAAGATTCCGTTGAAGGAATTAGTTGAAGGTAGGATAGGCTTCCCTGAAGAGATAGGTTTTCAGAGATCACCTAAAAGTGGGCAGAGTAGGCGATAGTCTGATAGATTGGGGTAGAGAGTTACAGAGGATGGGGGAGGCTCTGGAGAAGTCCTGGAGATGAGCATGGGAGGAGGAGACAAGGAAGCTAGAGAGTAGGAGGTCTCTAGAGGAGCAGGAGGTCATGGGAGGAGCGGAGAGGACAGTTTGGGTGATATTTGGAGACAAGATTGGTGAAGTAATTTGGGGCAGAGTTATAAATGGTTTTTTATATGTTATTGTTAATGTTTTGAATTTTATTCATTTGGCAATGGGAAGCCAGTGGAGGGACTGGCAGAGAGGGATGGAGGACACAGAGTGGAGGCCATTGGAGGGATTGGCAGAGAGAGGGTGGAGGACACTGAGTGGAGGCCAGTGGAGGGACTGGCAGAGAGGGATGGAGGACACTGAGTGGAGGCCAGTGGAGGGATTGGCAGAGAGGGATGGAGGACACTGAGTGGAGGCCAGTGGAGGGACTGGCAGAGAGGGATGGAGGACACTGAGTGGAGGCCAGTGGAGGGATTGGCAGAGAGGGGTGGAGGACACTGAGTGGAGGCCAGTGGAGGGATTGGGGAGAGAGGGGTGGAGGACACTGAGTGGAGGCCAGTGGAGGGACTGGCAGAGAGGGATGGAGGACACTGAGTGGAGGCCAGTGGAGGGATTGGCAGAGAGGGATGGAGGACACTGAGTGGAGGCCAGTGGAGGGACTGGCAGAGAGGGATGGAGGACACTGAGTGGAGGCCAGTGGAGGGATTGGCAGAGAGGGGTGGAGGACACTGAGTGGAGGCCAGTGGAGGGATTGGGAGAGAGGGGTGGAGGACACTGAGTGGAGGTCAGTGGAGGGATTGGCAGAGAGGGATGGCAAATACAAAACGGTTAGTAAGGTGGATGAGTCTGGCAGCAGCATTCATGATAGACTGAAGAGGGGATAGCCTGTGATGAGGTCGGCCAATGAGGAGGGAGTTACAATAGTCAAGGCGAGAGATAACAAGGGAGTGAATAAGTTGCTTAGTGGTTTCCGAGGTTAGGAACGGGCGTATCTTGGAGATGTTGCGGAGGTGAAGTCTACATGATTTGGACAGCGATTGGATTTGGGGCTGAAAGGACAGATGTGAGTCTAGGATTACACCTAGTACCCTGGCATGAGGAAAGGGACTGATGGTTGCATTATTGATCTTGATGGAGAAGTCAGGGGAGGGGGCATGGGCTGAAGGGAATAGTATGAGCTCAGTTTTAGAAAGATTGAGTTTGAGGAAGTGGAGTGACATCCATGCTGATATGTCACTTAGTGGGTTAGTAATGTGAGAGGAGACTGAAGGGGTGAGGTGAGGAGGAGGAAGATAGATTTGTGTGTCATCAGCACAGAGATGGTACTTAAAGCCATGGGCCTAGAGCAAGATGGCCAGTGGAGTTACGTGGGGTGCCAGTGTCCAATCATACAGCTGTCTCCTGGTGACTTCAGGAAGACATAGAGGAATCAAGTTCCTCACAACTTCTTTCACCTTCTGCCACTTCGGTCGGGGAGTACAGACTGCACCTGCCTACACAATGATTTAATGATTGGCTTTAGATCAGATTTAATGGTGATAAGGTTATCCAGAATAATCTTAGTGCTGGTGAAAATGTTGTAATTTGGAAATACAGTATGTATGTACAAATGTAGCTCAGACTGTACCAAAATTAAACATATGTTTTTTTTCCTAATCCATTTTTTTTTTTTGCTTGAACAAATTGTTAAATCTGAATTCCAGGTGTGGCAAATTTTTTACATAGTTACATTGGTCGAGCTTGGACCAATGCAAGTACGTAGGTGCCATTCCTATGTGATCCCTGTAGAGTGATGAAATCACTATAACAGGCACCACTACTCTAGTGATCTCCACTAGGTTCCTGGTCCCATGCCGAGTGGCTGCCCTGCTGTATTGTGAAGGAGTTGGCTTGCTAAGTACAAGCACCAGAGAATGCACTTTCTCAATGAATACAAGATGTTCTCTGATTGGACAGGGTGGAGATCATGATGTCACCACCCCGCCCACCTTTCCACCTAGTCCAATCAGAGAATGCTTTGCATTCCTTGAAAAACTGTGACCCGGAAGCTAGGGAGAGATCACTGGAGTAGCACTAACTACTGCGATGATTTCCAGCTTCCACGGAGATCCCACAGATATGGTATACCAACAAACGTAAATCGGCCCAAGCTTGGACCAATGCTGTATTATATTGAATGTGTAATGTGTTTTATATATATATATATATATATACACATACACAGTATATGTGTACATACACATAGATACATTCTTAGATGTACATGCACAAGCCAGTAACAAGTCCATTTTTATGCATCAAAAGGGCAGAGTATTGGCTTTGAGTTATGTTAATTTTTTGCAAGGGGAAAATTTCTTATCTTGGCATTTGTGGATGGACCTGTTTATGGCTGGTTATCCAATTAAACTTTTACAAGGGGTTGTAAAATCGAGGGTTAGATATGAAAGGGTCATAAAAATCTAGGGGGTAAGTTAAATGTTTGTGTCCTTGTTTGTGGTAAAGTTAACATTTCAAAGGATACATTGTGTACCAATTTAGGAGACTAAAGAATGTGACCATAAGCATTACAAAAATGATCAAATGAAGGTAATTGGGCTTGAGGGGTCTTCATGGGAAATAGCATTTAACCTGGTAAACACTAAAGTGACCTTATTGGGTATTTCCAGTAATTACAAGTAGGCTCATTTTGGTGTTGTTTAACAACAAGATCAAAAGTGATTGATCAGCCAATCAGGAACCTCTCCAGGAGTAATAACTGTTTTTTTTCAAGGGGAGGTTTCAGCTGTTAAGAAAGGGATCATGATCTAAAAAATCATTATTAGGAAAGCACAGGTCTAGAGTGTTGTATACAGTACATTATTGCATACATGGAAGTTCTTACTGTAGGTGTATAATATAGATTGGACGTATATGCTGGATGTGTAGTCTTTCTATCTTTCTATGTATGTGATGACAGAAAACAACCAAGTACCGGTAATTTTAAATGGGGACTCTAATGTTTCCGTCATTGTAATATTTACAAATACTCTGCATAGGATTTTATCATTAATTAGGCCTGGAATAGGAATAAATGCATCTCTCTGGATGAACCAAGTTACTCCGAGAGAATTTGGTTGGATTGAAGGAGTTTTGCGTTGAATTGGTGTACTCCTATTTCCATAGTAACACTAACAGTCCCAAATCCATTCACTGTCCAAAATCTTGTAGACTTCACCTCCGCAACATCTCCAAGATACGCCCATTCCTAACCTCGGAAACCACTAAGCAATTTATTCACTCCCTTGTTAGATCTCGCCTTGACTATTGTAACTCCCTCCTCATTGGCTTAATTGTACAAAATCGTTCTTCAGTCTGATGATGAATTGCCCCCAGATTCATTATCACCTTACTGCAACCGTTCTGTATTTGCCATATCGCTGCCAATCCTCTACTGGTCTAAAACCGATTTTGTCCTAAAGGGACGCTTTTTGGATCCCTCCACTGGCCTTTTCTAAGTTTCCAGGCAGAAAGAACAGTGCCAAAATGCCTCCAGGGCACAGGACAAAGCACTCGGTGACAAAATGTATGTCAAATTATTTGCCTACAGGAATGTTCCTTCCCTCTATGAAATAATCAATTTTAAAAAAAATTTAATTTGTTTTTTACCCCTTTGCAAATTTGCCTCCACACGGCCTCCAGCCTCGGCCGGAGGAGTGTCCAGGGGACCATCCCTCTCTGCCAATCCCTCCACTGGCTTAGCTTCTGATCATTGTAATAATACAAATACTCTAATTCTGGCATTGCCCAACGGATAAAATTCAAACCATTAACTGAAAACATATAAAGCCATTTATAACTCTGCCCCAAATTTACCGCTTTCTTGGTACTGAAAATTCACCAAACCGAACTACACTCCGCTACCTCGCAGGGGGGTTAAATGCTCTTTAGCTAGCTTTCTGATCATTGTAATATTTACAAATACTTCTATAGGATTTTTCATTAATCCTCTGGAAATCCAATAAATCAGACATCACCTACTCTGGATGCTCCTTTTACGATCCGAAAACCTATTGGTTCAGGATTGAAGAATTTTGCCCTTGAATAATAGTGTACTTCCTATTTCCAATCAGTCCACACTAATAATTACAATAATGTACCATTAGTCATCACTCCTATATATAAGACAACAAATGAAACTATGTATACCTATCCCTACTTAAAATTGCGGCTTTAACTGTTTTATTTTTGCTGTATTCCTCTCACTTTGTTTATATTGAAAGAGAGAAAAAAGTATTGCACAGCAAAATAAAACAAAAATGACTGTGTAAGAAGGGGGCATGCTAATATAAATCCTGTGTAATAATAATAAAATATAAGAAGGGGGCATAAATCCTGTATAATAATAATTACAATAATAATTACAGTCATCACTTATACAAGAGGGTTATGAGCAACGGATGACCACTATGGAAACTCGGACAATTCCATACGGGGTAAAAGGGGGCCCCTTTAATGCCCTTTTTACCTTTTTCATTTCCATTTTTTGATTTGAAAGAGAGGAAAAAGTATTGCCCATACAGAATATAGCCTTGCTTACAAAAATGCCTATGCAAATTCTCAACCCTCGTCAGGAGGGCCTGGGGGATAGAAACAACATCTAACATAATGGTTTATCTCTGATACATAGTGCAAATGATTAATCAACAAGTGTTGGAGGAGTAATCCCTGGGACAGAGGGACCTTGGCTTGTAGCAACAAACTGAGGTAGATTTAAGAAACAAACAAAGTAGAGTCACAAAGAAACCCATAAGTAGATGACTGTAATGAAGCAAGGTAAAACTTACTCAAAGAGGTTTTTACACAGCTAACTGTAGGAGAAGAAAGGTCCCTTGTATGTAGGAGAAAACAGATGCTAGAGGGAAGAAAAAAGAATCAGATGAGGCTATGGGAAAAATGATGGTAGAGTAAGCATGCAGGGGAAAGAGAGAGTACCCCAGAGGTTCACGTAAACCAAATGTAATTCCACAACGCTTATATTACAACTCCAAGAAACAGGAGGTCAATCGTGATGATGGAAATTAATGGAGCCAAGGCTGTAAAGGGCATACAAATGTAATGTGAGTATCATTGAGGACCACCATTAGTTTCTTACTAAAGTAGAACTTACCTCTCTTAATTAACATGGACTATTTTATTTATGTATTTTTGTTATTTATTTATTTCAGGTACTTATATAGCGTCATCAATTTACGCAGCGCTTTTAGATATATATTGTACATTCACATCAGTCCCTAACCCTCAAGGGGCGTACAATCTAAGGTCCCTAACTCACATTCATACATACACTGACTAAGCCAATTTAGACAGGAGCCAATTAACGTACCAGCATATATTTGGATTGTGGGAGGAAACTGGAATACCCAGAGGAAACACACACAGGCACAGGGAGAACATGCAAACTCCAGGCAGGAGGTGCCGTGGCTGGGATTCGAACCAAATGACCCTAGTACTGCCAGGGGGAAGTGCTAACCATAATCCTCATGCTGCTAGCTTTAGTAAATGGATAGGAAAGTATATCACATTTACTTTTTTTAAACTCTTCGGGGGGGGGGGGGGGAGGGTTCTCAGTTCAGCCAATGCCTGAGCTAAGAGCAGATAGATTCCAGGAAGTAAATGCAACATAAAAATTTGCCCTTATTTAAGATGGCCACTATCAGAAATGCCAGGGGGTGCAAAAAGTAAATGCTACATAAATAATTTGCCCTTATTTAAGATGGCCACTATCAGAAATGCCAGGGGGTGTTTTCCAAAATGATTTCTCAGCAAAATAAAGCATGGGAATATGGGTGGATGGGTGAGTTTGCTTTGAATATTAAAGTGATTCTAAAGGTTATTTTTTTTTTTGTAAAATAACAAACATATCTATACTTACAGTACCTGCCCCTCTCTTTCCTCATTGACTAATAGAGGCTCTGAGGAAGAGGCTAGTCCTCGAAATGCGTCACATTTTGGATGTCCATCATTTCATTATAAGACAGAAACGCAGTGCGAATTGGACAGAGAGGTCCCTTCATGATGGGCCTTATATTTATTTACTATTGTGAGTAGAATACTTTTTTATATTTAATAAATACACTTGTAAAGGTAATGCACAAGGCCGGTGCGCCCTCTGTTTTGTTTTTCTCTATTAGTACTTCTGGACTCCCGGGTTTTTTGAGGGCGGCATGGCGTGCATATCTCCAGAATTTCGTTGTGTGGTCTTTACGACATAGAGCCCATCCCTAAGCACAGGAGTATCTGGGTTTTTCCACTCCCACATCTCCTCATTGACTGACTGGCTGTGATTGGCACAGCGTATTTTAAGAATCAATAGTTAACTAATAGATGTTATCCTGAATTTGC